AAAAAAGTTTTTTAAATACCTAGAGAGATACAAAAGTCAAAACATGAATACACACACACACAAAATTAAGAGAAGAGATTACTTGACACCTCACATTTTGGCCAGACCCTTTTTCTTTTTTTTTAGCCAGATCCTACTTCTAATAACTCTAAGAAAAGAAGTTAGGAGAATAGAGAGGTAGACATAATTTAAATGGTCTAGGTTAACCTGGAGAAAAATGGCCCAGGTTAAATAACTGATCAAGGCATACTGCTTGGTCTTAAAAACCCCAGACCCAAAAGTGGTTTCTCAAAAGTACAATCTACCTCAACTAGAACCAATTAAAATGAATTTTAGTGCCAATTTCTAGGCTCCATCCAAGATGACTAATTCAAAATCTCTGGAGTTGTGACCCAGGAATCTAAATTTTAAAAACATTCTAAATGATTATTTTAAACTTGAGTTTAAACTGGCACCTCCAATTCAAATTAACCAACACATTCCTACCTGCATCTGTTTTTTCCCCACTGTGAGAGCCCTGGTTCCCCCCACATCAATATATGTACTCATGTGTTCTATCCTACCAACAGTTTCAGAATACTCCCAACCTCCCAACTTTTCTTCTTGGAGTTACTGGGGGTAGAGGCTGCCTCTAGTGAAAAACCACTAGACAAATCTATTAAGTAAAGGTCATAATTTCTTTGCAATTCTTTTCAATCTTAGTACGTATCCCATGAAAACAAGAGAATGCTCTTTTCAAAAGTTTCTTGGAATTTTTTCTCTGTGTGATTATGTTATCCATTTGATATGACGTATGGCTTGTTTCTTCTTATATTCAGTTCTAAGGTTTCCTTTTTCCATCCCTTTTTATTTTGTGTATATATATTTTTTGAATGTGTAAAACATTTACATGGTTTAAAACTAAATAAAAAGTATACTCGAAATCTTATTCTCTTCTATACCCCTTCCACCTCGGTTCCATCCATCCCCTATAAGTAACTATGTTCACTACATTTCTAGTTTATTATTCCTAAGTTTCTTTTTACAACAATAAACATATATTTTTCTTTTTCTGCCCACATGAAAGAATACACCCCCACATACACATAGCATTCTTTTGTATTTTTCTTTATACTACCCTAAACACTAGTAAAGGTTAATTTTCTTAGTAAAGTGAATAGCACAAAAATTTAAATTCCTTTTCCTCTAGTTCAGATTACAAAATCATCCCATCATAGAAATTTAAAGAGTGTTTTTTAAACTCTTCTGGAATATTCAAAGAGTTATTTTTAGTATGTAATCTCCCCTCAATGCCCTAGCACAAAATGAAAGGGAGTTTTAGCTAAATATTAAAGTTCTATTTGAATCCTTTCAAATGACCATGGCAACATTTTCTCCTCTAGGTGACAGAAGAAATAGTGAGCAGCAGAATGTAGGAGTGTGCAAGACAAACCTAAGGACAGCAGATTGTAAAACATGAAAACAAGAGTTAGCACCTGAGCAAAGGAGGAGATAAACCAGTTTCCGTTTGTCTCCATTTGCAATGTTTAAACTATTTCTCTGTTTACAAAAATAAAATTATAAACAATCCTGACAAGTTCTAAGCACCTAAAATTGGGTGGAAGAGACTTTTTAAAAAGAATAAACATGAGACAGCCATCCCTGGAAATATTAAGGATCTGCCTAAAGCAAGAGATTGGACCAGACAATCTCTTGGGTTTGAAGTGCAATATAATCCCCCACTCATTCCCATTTCTCCCCTTTCCCCTTCTTTCCTCATTATATCTAAACCATTATGTCTTCCAGTTGAAACTGTTATCAGTTATTTCCAAACCAGTTTCAGGCCATGAGCTGGGCTGGCCAGCAGCACGAAATTCAGCAGAATGGATTTGGCCCTATCAGGTGGACTTACACTTGAGCTGAGATCGGACAGTAAATGAGGTATATAATTGACGTTCATGTACTATTCACTACCAAATTTGGACCAAGCTCTTCTTCAGCTTGGTATTCATATATTCATGGAATCTCTGCATTCTGGCTCTATCCCAACTTCTACTGCTCTCTACCAAGAACCCGTATAAGCAACTATTTCCTAAGAGTGTTCGTTATTTAAAAAACACCCCCCTAAATCTTACTCATCTTCAAAACAGAGCTCAATTACACTTCCTCAATAGTTTTCTATTGATTCACCCTTCCTGTATTCTCCTAGCACTCAGCCTTTTTGCCATTCACTTTAGAACCTCATCACACCTCCTATAAGCTCTTCTAAATTCACACACTACTTGTAACTTCACCCTTCATTTAACACTCTTTACTAAGTCACATATATACTAGATATTATTATGGCTTACACACACCTTATCCATCATAGCACAGCACTCTGTATTTCTCTATTACAGAGCTGTTTACATAACATCATAATTGCTTGTTCATGTATATCCCCCTTATCCAATAAAGATCATAAGCTTCCTTAGGGGCCCTGTGCTAAGTTTCTTAGTACTGCCAAAGCCAAACATACTGCTCACAAGAACATACAGTAAATAAATCCTTTTCAAATTAACGAAAATTAGCTGAAAACAAGAGGATATAATCTCAACCAGAGATTGGAAACTTGTGGTCCACAGAATGAACTCAGCCAACAGACCTCTGTTTGGCCTCCAATGTATTTAAGAAAACTGGAATTAACATTTAAAAACTGGGAAACGGCACACAAAATCCAGATTTCTGAATTTTCTTGGCGGGGGGGGGGGTTGTAAGATATGCCCTAAAATGCTACAAGTACCTGCCTAAGAGCACAGCAGCTCTACATTAGATGCGATCTTCAGTTAGTCATCTTTTTTGCTTTACTCATTTATGTCACCTGTCTGTCCCGTGCAAATACGTAAGTTTACAATCAGTGATACAGACCCATAACCCATGATGGGCTTTCTAAGCCACTTATTCAAATTTGGGGCATTTCTAGTCCCTAGCCACCATGTTTTTCCAATGCTACACAGGTTTATCCTGCTAGCCTTCTCTCATCCTAAATCTTGACAAAGTACTCTACTGAATAGTAGTATACCTAGTGGTAAAGCCAGAACACACAACTTAGATGGATCACTACTACTTGGTTAGAATGATGTTTTTGATTCATGGATCAAATTTTATTATGTACCCACTCCACTGAAATATTGTTACAGTAGATTCTTATTCAAATTATACTGTTAACAATCGCTTCTCATACTGAGTCGGCCAGTTCATCTTGGCATATTAAATTCAATAAATATTTATACAGTGTTTGCAAAATTATAGGCCCTGTGTAATGGTTAAGGCAAAAGATTTGAAATCTCCAAATCTACCAAGTCTGATACCAAATCTTAGCTCCTCCATTCTCTGAGAAACTGCAAAGTTACTTCTCTAAGCCTCAGTTTTCTTACTTTTCAAATCTGGACAGTAACGGTACTTATTTCCTAAGAATGTTGTGTAACTTAAAAAGACAAAGACATAAGAAGGCAATCTGGCATATAGCACCTGACACACAGAAAACAATAAAAGCAACTATCATTTAAGTATCTGAGTACAGAAATAAAAAACTAATGAAACAAGATATCTGAACAAAAATCTAAAACTCTATGATACTGTTATTAATCAAGCACATGGAAACCCAAAAGAGATTAGTTCTATAGGGAGGAGAGAGGGAACATACAGAGCTAGACAGGAATGATACAAGATGAACCTGGAACATCTTGTGCCAGAAAGTTAAAAAGTACTAAAGAAACAAAATATTAGGGCCATGTCAAAAGGGCACAATGGCCAAAGCTGCAACAATCTGATTAACAAATAATGACAACACAAAGAATGTCCATGAGTGCATACAACACAAATAAATGATTGAATAAGTAAATAAAAGGAAAAGACTAAGTCTTCCATACAGAAGAATCCCAATTAATAGAGAAGTAATGAAGAAAAGAAAAAATCACCACTAGAAAACAATAAAAACCTGCTATACAAATGCTAAAATTAATGAGCAAAAGTTTAAGAACAGGGTACTTGCATACCCTCAAAGTAGTTCCCCAAAACACTTTATAATTTACAAAGCGATAAATATTAATTTTAAAACGGAGAAACCTGGAAGACATCACCTTAGCCAAAGAACCAGGCTAACAATACCAGTTATAAGACATACTAACATCAAATACCTCTTGATACGACATACAGAGGCACATTATCTCTGCATTATCCTTCCCCGAAATGCATTACCTCAGTCTAACCATGAAAAAAACCAGACATATCCAAATTATAAAACATACTATACAATATCACTCTACAAAATACCTGACAAGTACTCTTCAAAAGTGTCAAGGTCATAAAAGACAAGAAAAGACTGAGGTACTACAGATGAGAGGAGACCAAGGAGACATGACAACTAAATGTAATGCAGGATCCTGGACTAGATCCTGACACTAGGAGAGAAACTAATCTAAATGAAGTCTGTAATTTACTTAGTAGTTAACAGTACTACTTACTCAAAAGTACTGTACTAACATTAATTTCTCAGGTTTTATCACTGTACTATGCTTATGTAAGATGTTAACACAGAGGAAGTGAATGAAGAACATATGGGAACCCTTTGGAGTATTCATTCAACCCTTCTATAAATCTAAAATTCTTTCAAAATAAGTTAAAAAAAATCTTAGATGATGAAAACAATACTGGTTGTAATACTTTTTTTTTTAACCAAAGACTCACTATCAACTTACCTGAACTGTAGGTATTATTTTCCAGTGAATGCTACATTATCTCTGTTCTTACTTTATGCTCTATCAGTCATGTAACATAATAAGCTTTAATAAATTGGTATTCTACCAAAAATAAAGTCAATCACTTAATAAAAAAACATTTAATTACCTTTTCTGACATCTTAAAAATGACTAATAGAATTTCACTTTTTAATCATAGAAGCCCCCACAAAGCTTTATCTTTAATAGAAACTAATGTTATTATTGTTTACAGCATAAAAATAATTTAAATAAAATCCTTACCTTCCAACCACTGCCAGCCTCTCTATAATACGGGAAGTTATCACAAATCCACTGGTAAATCTCACTTAGAGTCATTTTCTTTTTGGGTGAGCTATTAATTGCAAATGTAATGAGGCTGGCATAACTGTATGGAGGTTTCCCATCTTTGTGCTGTTGGACTTCTTCCTGGTCCAGTGTTGTATTTGGGTCAAGGAGCGCATTCTTCTTGGAAATTCCTGTTCCATGTGCATTTTGTGTAGCATCAGATTTTTGGATGGCTGCTCTCATGGTGAGCTGTGGTAACCAGTCCATAGATGTTAGGCTGCTCTCCAGTTCAGATGTCATCCTGAAGGTAAATAGACTCCTTAGTCAATATCAAGGAAAGAACCCCTGCTTCTCAAAATATCCAATATTCACAAATCTAGGAGTTCCAAAGTGAGGGAAAGCCTGAGTTAAATCTGGAGGAAAAAGATTGAGTATGTTAATGATCAAACCAAATATTTAAGGGCTCAACATTTCCAATCTTTCTTCTTAATTTTTTCCTCTCCAAAACACAACAAATTTGGTTTTAAAATATTTAAGATACAGAATACATAAACACAAAGTGATCCCAATGCCAATGTTTCTAAAAAATACTGTCATTTTAAATAGGGCAACAGGATCATAGTATGAAAAATAAGCCTGCAGTCCAGCTCTTTACTCACCAACAACACCACAGGCCCTTTAAAACCTTAAGATTGCCATTTCTTTTACACAAATTTTAGGGGAGTCATACAAACAAAAGAATACCTAAAGAAGTCAGAGAAGTGACTGAGAAACAGGCACAGGAATTTGCAAGGAGGAAAGAAGGTAGAGCTGAGCAGGTGGGAGGTAGGAAAAGCAAGCAGGGTAGACAAGAATAGTAAGTAGACAAGCTAGCTGGGGGAGCTGACCGAAAAGAGGAATGCAAACTCAAGGACACTGAGGAACAAGAGGAGGATAGGCAGCACCCAGGCAGTTAAAAAATAAAAAATAGGGGCGCCTGGGTGGGTCAGTCATTAAGCATCTGCCTCCGGCTCAGGTCATGATACCCGGGTCCTGGGATCGAGCCCCGCATCAGGCTCCCTGCTCCACGGGAAGCCTGCTTCTCCCTGGGAAGCCTGCTTCTCCCTCTCCCACTCTCCCTGCTTGTGTTCCCTCTCTCGCTGTGTCTCTATCAAATAAATAAAATCTTTAAAAAAATAAATAAAAATAAAAAATCCACAAAAGTCAAGGAACAAGCTTAAGAAAACTAAAGATCTGGGAGTGTAGGACAGACGAGATTAAATCATACAAATGGACAGCAAGAAGCATTAAAAACTCAGGGCAGGTTAATCCAAACATCTAGTGATCTGGATTCTGTAACATATTTTTCTCCACGGCTGAAAAATTCAGACCATTACAACCCAGAGAAAGAAAAAAAAAAATCTGCCGGATTAACACATTTTCTGGAGAAGGGAAAAGCTGCTTGAAGAACTGAAGGTAAAAATATAGAAACAAAGCTTGACACTTCACACTGGAATTGCTAACTTTCAGCTGAGGATACAAACCTTCTACCATGGGATCAAAGAAACAGGAATAATAGGGTAGAGAAGAATGAAAGACTTTTAAGTGATAACAAAATAATGAGAAAAAAGAAAACAAGAAACCTGAAGTACCTCAGTGAAAAGAAAAAATTTGTGGCAAATAAAATCCAGTATAGGCCCTCATCCCAAATGGCTGCAAGCAAAGAGCAGCCTGGAATACGTGCTTAGGATAGGAATTTAGGGGAGGCAATACAGAACTGATAAAGAACACAGGCTCTCAAGTCAGGCAGATCAGAGTTCAAGTACTAATTCTACTAGTTACTAGCTGCAGGAAATTAAAATGTTAATTAATATATCTAAACTCCAGCTTTCTCTAGGGATGGCCTGGGTGGCTCAGTCTGTTAAGCATCTGAGTTCGGCTCAGGGTCCTGGGATTAAGCCCTGCATCAGGCTCCCTGCTCAACAGGGAGCCTGCTTCTCCCTCTCCCTCTGCCTGCTGCTCCCCACTGCTTGTGCTCACTCGCGCACGTGCTCTCTCTCTCCGACAAATAAAATCTTTTAAACAAAAAAACAAACAAGCTCCAGCTTTCTCATCTGTAAAATGAAACTAATAGTTCCTACAGTTAAAATATTACTTTGAGTGGGCACTTGGGTGGCTCAGTCAGCTAAGCATCTGACTTCAGCTCAGGTCATGATCTCAGTCAGGGTCTTGGGATGGAGCCCTCCCTGCATCAGGCTCTCTGCTCAGCAGGGAATCTGCTTCTCCCTCCGCACCCCCCCACCCCCACCCCAGCATGCTCACTCTGGCACTCTTTCAGATAAATTTTTAAAAAATTAAAATATTACTTTGAGAATTAAATGTGGTAGCATATACACAGAAGAAACATCCGTTAAGTATTAGTTAATAATATTACCCTAGGATTATCTGGCGAGGGTACTAATGCAGTATAAAGTAAACCAGATTAAGCAACAGCAATTATAAATCAAGAGACAGCCATGAGGATTTTATCTGCACTGCCAGTAAAGTCCTATTATCTTGCTCTTAGATATTTTGATCCAGCTTTACCTTTTTCACTTTCTCAAATTCCCTCCATCTCTACTACATATATTCCTCTGAAATCTGAACTTTAAATTCTCTATACAGTACCTTTAGAGATCAAAAAACCAGACAAAAAACAAAACAATAAAACCCTTAACATTATGCTCTATAATCTCAGCATTATATGAAATGCTTGTTGCCAGCATGAAATAAATTACAGGAACTTATGGAATAAAGAAAACAACGTAGGGGTGCCTGGGTGGCTCAATCGGTTAAGCAGCTGCCTTCGACTCAGGTCATGATCCCAAGGTCCTAGGACTGAGCCTGCATGGGATCCGTGCTCGGCAGGGAACCTGCTTCTCTCCCTCTCCCCACGCCCCGCCCCCCGACCTCTGCCCTTCCCCCCACTCATGTTTTCTCGCAAATAAGTATTTTTTTAAAAAATTAAAGACAACAATGTAATTTAGACATCACAGGTTGTCAAATGAGTGGGCAAAATACCCTAGAGATCAGAGACCAATCACTTCAATTTAAAGATGAAAAACTAAGGTCTACTGAAGTTAAAGACTTGCCCAAATTCACAAAGGTAGTTAACAGTAGAAGTAAAACCAGAGCCCCGGTCTCCCAATGCTCAATCCAGTAGTTTTTCTACCATCCCTCATCTGTAAAATGAGCATAATAGTACCTACCTCACTGATGAAGAGTACTGAGAACAGTGACTGGCAAATAGTAAGCATTCAAAAAATGTTAGCTACTGGTGGTGGTTATGCTAATAGTAGTTGCTGCTACTATTATTCATATTTCATTCTATAAACCTTGGCAATTATTATACCATACTGTCATCCTATTTGCTTCAATTAAGGCTCCACTAGATAGCTTTATTTTGTTTAAATTCCCAAAGGAGCCAGTCGCATATATTTTCAAAGTTAATATAAATGCACGTTCCAAACTGGAATATAATGGATATTGCAGATGCCCCCTACTGAGAACCATCTTTAACTTCTGTTTCCTTCCGGGCGCCTGGGTGGCTCAGATGGTTAAGCGTCTGCCTTCGGCTCAGGTCATGAGCCCAGAGTCCTGGGATTGAGTCCCCCATCGGGCTCCCTGCTCCTTGGGACCCTGCTTCTCCCTCTGCCTCTCTGTCTCTCATGAATAAATAAATAAAATCTTTAAAAAAAAAAAAAAAAACTTCTGTTTCCTTCCACCAGTGCCACTAATTGAGACTGGCCTCAGAAATATAATGTAAACATATAATAAGTACTTAATACATGTTATAATAGTTAAGAATTTATAATTACACATTTACAGGGCTATTAGAGTAAAACTGTATGTACACACACACACACACACACACACACACACGAAGTATGATAAAATTCCTGTCCTCCAGGAAACTGTAGTCCAATTAAGAAGGTCAAACATAAAGAAGAACTGAAGAAAAGGCGGCTGAGCTCTGGGTGCTGCTAACAGTACAAAAACGGAGGATAACATAGACTACAGCTCTCAGAGGCAGAGAAGGAAGAACTTCAGCTAAGATTTGAAGAAAGTAAAGATCTCAACAGGCTAGAAAGAAAATGGTCCCTAGTCATCAAAGACATCAGGAGTAAGAATCACTCCACTGCTGTGCTTATCTTCATCAGTTCTGCTAGATCAAATCTGAACTAACTATAAAATATCTATCTTAAATTTAAACTCTGAAAAAGTGGGGCTTCTGTTTGTAATTTATGAAATTTTATATATTCTTGGTAGTAAGGTAAAAAGTGCTTCCATTGTTGGTGTGTCACCTGGTTGCCACAGCGGTTCTCCATTAAGCACAAAGAACACAAAAAATGACCATTAGATATGACCAGATCATCAGTAACTTTAGAAAGAAACCTCTTAATGGAATGGTGATGACAGAAGTCCGCCTGTATAAGAGAACAGATGGTGGTAAATTTAAGAACAGCATGGGAGGCTCTGAGGAATCTGGTTATGGAAATCTGGTTAAGAAATGTCAGGCCCTCATTACCTCACCTCATTCCAAAAGCTTCCTAGCTGGCCTCCTGGAGTCTGATTTCTAACCACTCCTCTCTGCTAATCACCTCCAGAGTCCATGCATACACTCCAAGAGAAATCTATCAGCACTGTTTTCATGTCATTGTGCCCGAAAACTTTCAATGGTTCCCTTTTTCCTACTATACCAAATTAAACTCATTTTCAACTACTGTGGGTTTTATTAATCTTTTATTAATCCCTCTCTAAATCCCTGGAGCAATTATAACCTCAACTTGGCATCTACCATGCTGTTTCATATGTATAATTGCATCATACACCTAAGCTTACTACCCTCTTCCCCCACCTCCCCACTGAGAACAGTGACCATACAACTAATACTTCAGATGCTACCTAACACCACACCAGGTACATGTTATCTGAAAAATAACAGTATTTGGATTAAAAACATTCCTTTCTGGAATGTCTTTCCCATCTAACGCTGCATAGCTGGCTTCTACTTTTTTTCAAGACTCAGACCGAACACTTCCCCCTCCAGAAAGCCTCATCAATCCACTCTTATCTTCCATCTCCTAAAGTGAACTAGATCCTACTCCCATAGTAGCATGTCAACACCTCTCTATCCCAGGACTTATACAAGATTATAACTATATCTATCTCCCCAGAGTCCATGAGTTCTGAATAAGAAACTTTCTTATTCTTTTCTCTCTCTCCAATCCCTAAGAATATAGTAAGTGAAGGGTCAATAAATAATGGTTAAATGACTGAAAC